TCCGCCAGCGGCCTCTCCTCGCCGGGCACCCGCCGCCGAGGCCGAGCGGGCGCCCCCCGCACCGCCGCCTTTGTTCCCCCTGCGGCCGGGGTGCTGCGCTCCCCACGGAGCCCCCGCGCAGGTGCGGAGCCGAGGCCGCTGCCGCCCGGCGGAGCGCAATCTGCCTCCCCGCGCCCCGCCCCCCGCTCCGGGCACGCTCCTGGGACCCGCGGGCGGTCTCTCCCCTCCGTGCCCGGGCGCGGTGAGACGGGAGGGAGCGCCGCAGGTTCAGGTTATCCCGCGTGGGTCCCACTGCCGGTCTCCGGCAATAAGCAGGGCTCGGCCGGGGCGCGGTGCCGCCTGAGCACCCCGTAGCGCCCGTCCCCCCCCGGTGGTACCTCCAGAGGACTGGCGGAACGCGGGGTGCTCCCTCCCCACCCCTCTTCAGCCCTGCCCGTTCTCGGGTCCCTGCCTTTGTTCGAACTCCCCGACGAGCCACACCGCCTCTCCCTCCCAGTTCGAAATGTAATCAGACCGATTTTTCCTTAAGAGCCTGAAAAATCAAAATAATCTTAATTTTAATGTGACGTGACCCCTGTTTTTCTTGGGAATAATGAGGACGAAGCCCTCATCAATTAAAGCCAAGATGTCTCCGTACAAAGATGATGATATCTACATGTGCGGAGGCTTTGAGTCACTGGCCGTGTTACTCAATGTATTATTGAACATTTAGATAATCATCGGGTTTGTTTGTGTGCCTGTGTTTTAACCCGAAAGCACTAAATTTATTTGGCAGGATTGCCGGGCTCCTAATTATTTGTATTTCTGACCGCCGGATAAATAAACCCGTCCCCGTTTCTATTGTGCAAAGCAGCTACTCCTGAGCAATCCCCAGCCTGGATATCTGATCGAAAATTTGATAGCAGGGGAACCCTCCCTGGCAGCCACATTCGCTGGTTGAACGCTCCATCCTGCAGCAGGAGCCCCGTCAGCATTTATTTCCCTAAAGATAGGAAGGAGCAAATACAGCTATATTTATTTAAAACCCCTTGGCCCTGTGCTGCACTCGGGGACTGTGTTTTGGGTCCCAGCATCCGGAAATGGTTGTGGAGATGGGCAAATCCTTGCGCCGCTGGTCCCGGCCGGGCAGGACCGTCACTACCTCCCAGAGATTTTGCCCTCCTCTGTCCCACTCTTTATTTATTTTACTCCCAATTTGGAACGTTGTCTTCCAAACAGAATCCATGGCAGCCCTGGCCATTGCCTCTCCTGACTCTCCAGGCTGAGTTGGACACATTTTCCCTCACCATTTTATTTTTCTCCTCACCCTTCCTTGTCCTTTTCCTGAGGATTTGGGATATAAAACGCGTAGCAAAGGATGGAATGAAATAATATATAATTAGTTATTCATATCAATCTGTCAAATATCCTTCCTATCAAGTTATTCCTGCACCGTGCGCCTATTCCCACCTCAGCTCGGAGCAAGATCTGCCGGTCCCAGAGACATGGATTTCCTCGTATTCGGTGTTCTGTCAGCCGCAAGACTTTTAGTTTGTAAAGTTAATTTTCTCCTCTTATATGCTGCCTAAAATCTTAACGCCATTTCTTACTCTACTGGGGGGCTTTGAGCAATTAAAGGAGCATAAAGGAGTAATTTCTTCCCTCTCTCTTTCTTTTATTTTTTTCTTAGAATTGGTATTTTCCCACTATAATTTAGAATGAAATAGGATTTTTAAAAGATCCAGAGTTCTAATCTCGGTTGATGTTTTGGTGTATTCACGGTAATGAGTCCTATTCCCTCGGGTCATGAAGCCCCCAAATGTCAATCAACCAAACTGATTCAGAAATGCCATTGTTCGGCTCCCACGTCACTCGCCTTCCTCTCATTTTACTTAACAATACCGGAGTTCTCTGATCACTCACTCGGAATATGGGCATTATCTGTGGCAAATGCACAAAGTGTCTTGATCTTTGGCTGGCAGATCCTGCTGGCGGGTTTCCGCCGAGCAGCCCGTGCGTGTTTATCCTGCTGCACCCCGGACCCGAGTACAGCTTGGAGGAGCAAATGAGTATCTTGAAAGCCAAACCGTGCCATAAATCCGTCAAACATTAATTTGTCTGCAGAGATGTTACATTTCTATTTCCGCGCCCGGAGCCGGCCCCGGCACGGGCTCACGAGGCTGCGGCCCCACTCCGCGCTCCGCCGTGCAGCGCAGACCCCGCCGGAGCTGTCCTCCCCACACACTCCGCGGGCACCCGGAAGGGGCTTCTAAGGTCTCGTGTCCCGTGGGAAATGACACCCGCGTGTCAGAGGGGCGGGTGGAACAGCCCTCCCCCGAGCATGCCGTGCAATGCCCTTTTGGGGAATTGCGGCGGGGCCGGGGTCCCCGCGCCGCCTCCCGCCAGCCCCGGCGCGGGGGATCCCCCCGGCCGGCGGAGGTGCGGTCCCGTTAATGGTCCGGTGAGACGGAGGTAGCTCCGCCTGGGAGCCGGGGGTCGCTTTCGAGATCCCCCAGGTCTCAGCTACGAGGGGTTGGGGGGTGGGGGAGCCCTGCCCGGAGCCCGGCGGCGGGGCCGCGGGGAGCAGTGCTATCCTCACCCCGGCCAAGCCCGGGCTCAGTGCTGGCTGCGAGGCATGAACGTCGTCTTCATTTAAAATTGGGGCATAAGCTCCCCAGCCCCCAGCCTCAGCATTTAAAGTGCCTTTTGTCTCTTCATTTCACTTAAGCAAGGTTTTTGTTGCCGGTTGCCAAGTTCTATTAATGCAGAATTTAACCGGGAAGCGCTTTTCCCCAGTCCCAGCAAGACGGGAACAGCAGATTCTGAGGCCTGAGACGGTATAAAACAGATCCCTCGGTGATTATTGCTAATACCCTACAATTTAACGTCGTCTTTAGTAGAAACCACTTCTGTGGCAGCAACTTTTTGGCGCTCAAAGAAAAATACTCGTCCTTTATGTTTTTTCTATCGAGCACGCAGCAATCACGCCCGACGCTGGAATACGAAACCGAAAAGGTTTTCTCTAAAGAGAAGGGCCTTAATTACTGGATTCCGTGTACAACTAATCCAAAGGCACACTTAAAAGGAAATTTAATAGCGGCAGTTTCTATTTCACCCCGAGTAGCATGTGTCCTCTGGCTGGATGCTCCCAGCCCCTCTCCCAGAGCAGAGCCCGCCGGCTTCCTTCTCCATTTTGTCCTCGATCTGTTGGCTTTTCTCAATATCCCCTTCTCCCTGCAGCGGGAATAAATGGAAAGCGTTCCTCGGGATTAAACCCTTAGATTTTCCCCTTTGCTAACCAGTAAAGAGGGAGAGAGGGAAGAGAGGAAATGAAATTGTTATGGAGATTATAGTGGATGTGCCCGGCTCTTTGGCCGGTCCGTGGGTTTTGTCGCTGAACGGTTAAGTGCAAACTTGTATTTCCCTTCACAAGAATGGACAATTTTTCTCGCTTGTTTGCAGTTTCCCAAAGTTCTACACACAAATCAGTGAACCTTAAGAGACCCTTTCACTCTTTTATTGTGAATATTTGTCAGTGCTCGGGGGCAGTGATTGCAGTGACAGGTGAATCCAGGGGCCCAGCGATGGCATCCCCACTTCATAGGTTTGGGAATGTAAAAGACTACCGGCCCTTTCCCGCGGGATGTAGCAGTCAACAGGTTCACAGTTTCTGGATTGTAATTCCTCTCCCCCTGCAGCCGAGCGGGAGCGGAGAAAACCCCAGCCCCGACCGCTGCCTGGCCAAACCTCAGCCCCCACTACTGCTGATAGCCTTGTGATGCCCGGATACCCCGAGGACGGGGAGGAGGAGAAGGAAGAGGACAGGGGTGGCCCGGAGAGTGCAGAGGAACCCCGGCCCGGCGGCCCCGCACGCCGCCTGGCTGCCTTCACCCGTATTCCCAGCGCCCAGGCGGGATCCCGCGGGGGAGCGAAACCTCCTCGCCCATCCTCTGCCCCTCTTTAATTTTTATTCCGCCTTTTAATTATTATTTAAAACCGAGAAGGGCCGGGGCGGGGGGCGGGGGGCAGTGTGCGGGGAAGGACGGGAAGAGAGTGGCTGGGGCAAACGGCAGCCCGGCTCCCTCATTTCCCCAAGTGCTGGCACCGGGGCGCGCTCCCGTCGCCGCCCCCCCTCCCCCCCCCAGCTGACCGGTACCGGGGTCCCGGCTACGGGAGTCACCCGGCGCCCCCCTCGCGGCGCCCCGGTGAGCTGCCACTCGGTGGGGCCGCTGCCGGGGGCTGCCCTCGTCCCGCGCACCGGAGCCGGGCTTGATATTTAATCCGGCTCTCTTCGGACAAAGACCCATCTTTTTAGCACGGAGAAACGCCATTGAGATGCGAGTAACCTTTAGGGTTATAGCCCAAACCGGGACCCCGGGGCATGAAAGATGCTGGCCGGGCTCTCTTCTAACCTGAACAAAAAGGATCTAAAAAAAAAAAAAAAAAAGAAAGAAAAAGAAAAACGCATTTCTTTCCCTCCCAACAAAGAATTCCCAATCATTTCATCTTGGGGGTGGATTTTTATTCCCGTGTCCACTCAGGATATTGAAATCGATCGCTGCAATATTTAATATATTACTGTCTTAGAGCCCTCTCTCTGTAAGACTGGGGTTATTTCTTGTCTGACTACGTCCCCTCCTCTAATAGCTCGTTCTGTACGTTTGTCTGCAGTGTAAAATAATTACAGTCTTCATTAAATACACAGTCATTTATGGCTGCGGTCAGTTTCCTAATTATGTTAAAAAGCAAACGCCAGCTAAATAAAGGTATCTTAATAGAATAAACTCCCAATAAATTCACAGGCACTTGATCAACAACTTCCACAAATACCTGAGGGTCTAACGACAATATTGGGACTGTTTTTTAATTATGTGAGGTTTATATAATGTACCCTTCATTTTTTGTTTAGCTTTCCTATAGTGACCTGTCCCATAACCTTGTAATCCACTGTGGGATATTTCTTTCTGGCCTCTTCCCTTTTGTTATGCCCCCACAGGTTTCCATCTTAGATGCCTTTTCTTTCCTTTTTTTTTATTCCTTAGTAAATGCGTCTTTAAAAATTATTTGACCTGTTTGACTTAGAGACGTGCGCAGCCATCTGTGGCTCGGGTTAGGCTTCGAGCTCCTACGTGATTTCATGATCTTCCCAAAGCAACACCTGAAAATTGAAAATAATAGTTCTTCCATGTTGGGGGAAAATGCTGCATTAGCAGCGTTTGCAAATGTCGATGACTCCTACATATTGGTGTGTGCCTGTAAATATACATAAATTCGCGGGTTTATTACCTCTTTGGGAGCGTATCCTCGATACTAGAAAATGTCCCGGCACAACCGAGGGTTTGCCACCCTGTCTTGCTAAGGCTGGATGTCGCTGGACATCCTTTGGGAAAACCAGGGAGCAACCTAAAGGACCTGCAGCACCTTGGCAGAAAGTGTGAGCTGGGGAGCGGTGGCTTTGCTTTTCCTGCATCCCTGGGAGCGAGGGAGGCTCCTGGCAAACGCTGTCTTCCCAGTCGGAGATCGGGGGAATCGGGCTTCAGGCTTTTATCACAGAGCAGCTCTTCCCCGGGAAGAAGCTGGTTGTTTTCTCAGGCGTGAGCTTTGTAGGTACTGCTGAGCAGAAGCTTTGCAGAACTAAGGTAAAACCGCAGTAAGGGCACTGCTGATTCTTCACAGCCCTGACCAGAGAGAGGGTCAGACTTGCTGAGTCCGGCGGTGCCTGAGAGGATACTCTAAGCACCTCTGCGGGCAGAGACAGCTCTTCTTCAGTGTGAGCCCCTTTTTCCTTCAGCACCCAAGCATGGGAACCTTAGGCTGGTGGAGATGCAGAAATGTTAATCTCTATCATGTCTATGCAAAGCTATTAACGCTATCGATTCTTAACTTTCTCAGCGAAGACAAATGTACCATATGTCGAAGTGTAAACACTTTAGAGTAAAATTAAAACCAGCTCTGTGCAATTGTCACTGTGCTTGATTCTAATACAAACTATCTGATGTTTATGTAGTTCGTCTTTCTAAAGGATCAGACGCCATCGACATTGCTAAACCAGAGACAAGCAGTGGATGTTGCGCGGGAGGCAAACTGGGTTTGTAGGTTTGGTGAAGTCGAAGCCGCGGCAAAACCGACCTCGCAGTTCGCGGGGCTGGGAGTTGGTGAACTCTCCGTTACCCTCCAGAGCTTTTCCCTAAAGCCGATGTCATCCGTCTCCTGTGGAAAACGGGAGGAACAACGGCAGCACGGCAGGCGGGGAGCTGGGCTCCGTGCTTCGGCCCGCAGCCTTCGCTGGGACCCTCGGCACAGCCGTTTACCGAGGGGATGGGGGTGGGAAGAGGGAAGGAGAGAGGCAAAAAGGTCTCGGGGAAGGCAGCAGCCACTTTTAAGTCTGCTGATGAGGAATTGCTGCCGGGTATCCTCCTTTTCCCCCCACGAGCAATGCAAACACGTATAAAGCTTCCCAGCTTTCAGGTGTGTTTTAAAAAGTTGACCCCCCTCCAAGACTCTTTAAGAAGCTCGGTTCTCCGGGGCGGAACAAACACCACCAAGTGCTCTGCGTGGAGGACAGGAGATAGCAGCGATTATCTGGAGAGCCTTTCTATTTATCGGCCTCTACGCAGCGAGATAGGGAAATACAAATGTTCCCGGACTTGATGAATGGCAGGGCTTGTGTGGAATTACTGCGTTTTACAGGCCCCTTTACGGGAGAAGGATACCGAAATCATAATGGAATTAATGAGATTTTACTGGCAAAATTTGTAAACCCCAGGTAACCATTTATAAACTTCCCCTAAAATGTAAGAGAGCCTGCGAGATCACAGTCGGGGAGATCTGACATTATTTTATAGCGCGCGTTAAACGCCATTCTCTCTTTTCTTCTCCCACATCATTTAGCATGAACATCTTTTTCCCTCCGGCGAACTTCGCCAGATTTTGACGGGAACGATTATGTCATAGCGGGAAACAACCTGAAAATCCTTCTCTTGGTTATAATGTCCTACTTCAAACATCCGCAGCAGACAAAGTTTTTCAAATCTTCTAGAAAACTGTACAAGGAATAGCACGATATCGCGATTTACCCTCGTGCAAACTATCACGTCCACCAAAGTGGAAATAGGAATTTCCAAATGCGAGCAACCCCTTTTTATTTTTAAATATATATATATTATCATTATTATTATTACTTTTCCGTGCAGTTTATTTGATAATATTTCTGGGTTTGCTATTGTGTCGGCAGTTTACCCCTGAATCCCAAGGAATACAAAAGCATCGCTGGTAAATACAAAACATATGTTCGCACAGGTTATGTGGCAGCTTTAGCACTCGCCGCCCCATTCACATGCATCTCCACGAAGGCACAAAGCCCCTGGAAACCCCAGCCCAGGCGCTGCTCGGCCGCGAGGTGGTCCGGGAGAGCAGAGGTTTTGCTGCGGGAGCAACAAGAAGCCCCGACAAATACCACGGAGGCCGGGGAAGGGGTCCCCGGCCTGAGCCGTGCTCCGGCCCTGCCGCAGCAGCCCCTCGCTTCACCACCAGCACCGGCTTCTCGGCGGCGCTGCTTGTTTTCTAGTTTATTTATTTTTTTTCCCCGAGAAAGGGGAATGACAGGGTGAAATATAAACCAAAGATGTGATGTGACCCGAGTGGCCACTGAAGGAGGGGGTTTAGGCAGGACCTGTTTCCCAGCTAAACTCTCTGCTGCTCTTTGGGGAAAACCAAATGCAGGTTGATGGAAACATCCTGTTTTGAGGGAAATGGACTGTACAGCCCTATCTCGCTGCTCCGACACTACTAATCAGCCTGGAAAAGCGCTGCGAGCCCAAGTCCCGGGGAAGCGGCAGCCGTGCATCTGACACGTTTGCAATTCAATCCTGAAAGGCGGGTAGGAAAATCGCTGCGCTCCGAGGTGCAGTGCCGGGGCTGCGGCGGCCTCTCCGTGCCCGTCCCCGCCTGGAGAGCCGCTGCGTTCCCCGCCTGCCGAAGGGGCGAGCCGCGGAGGGGAAGCCGACAGATGTGGGCTGTGCAGAAATCCGTGAAACAAGTGCTTTAAACCCTGGGGGATTTCTCCTAATAGCGAAATCAGAGAGGGAAAGATTTCAGGAAAGAGAATAGCCCAATATAAGTTTCTAGAGTGGAATTTACATTTCATCGCGATTTGTATTTTATAATATGCAGGCACGTGCGCTCGGAAGGCGTTTCGGTGAAACGGCGTTCACGTTCCAGCGGCGGGGGAGACCCCGCGTCCCCGGGTCCTCTGACCAACGGGAGCAGCAGCGTGCCCACCCCCCAACCTTCCCCCCCAGCGCCCACCTCGGGGGCCGGGATGTGGAGCCTGGCGAAGTTCACTGTAGCACCCCAACACCCCGAAGCTCCCTCCGGGAAGGGGCTGGAGGTGCTAGCTCCTGTTTATTTGTCTAAGGGAGATGGAGGAAAGAGAGGCCGAGCAGCGCGGGGCTGCCGAGGCGCCCCCCGCCCCCCTCGCCCGGCAAACGTGCTCCTCGGCAGGGCAGAGCACCCCGGGCCACCGAGGCCGTTAACAAAGGGGGGGAGAGGCCCCTGCACGTGTGCTTAGCCACAACGGGCCCGGCCGTGCGCCGGGAGAGTCGGCCGGGCCCGCTCCGCGCCAATGCTTCCCGGGCGGCCAGGCCGGCGGAATGGGATCACCGCCGTGCCGGGGTCCCAGCGCTTCCTCGCTGCCTGGGGGGCGTCCGTGTTAGCGCGGCCCGCCCCCTCCGCGCACCCGGCGCCACCGCCCAGAGGTCACCGTGCTGGTGCCGGGTTCTCGCTACGGGCCACATTAGCGGAGCGGCCATTTACTGCCCCTGGATTGCAGCAGAGACCGGGTTAGCCCATAAAGCCATTCACACTCAACAATGGGGATTTTCTCAACAATTAACAAGAAACAACATAATAAAGCCATTTACAAAGCCCTCGCTATTTACTATAAATTAGCCACTCTTTAAGAGACCAGTGCGTAATTTCACACGCTTTACAGCCCTGACTGCATTTTAGACGCAAGAGCAAACAGCCCTGTTGCACTTTCTGAGCTGACCTCGCTCACTGTCCCCTCCCCGGGCCGGCTCCGCGGGGGCAGCGGGCGCACGGCCTCCGCCGAAACCCCAAGGCCTTCACCACGGCCCCGAGGCCTCCCCCGGCGCCGGGCCCGGACGGTGGCTCCTTGGGCTGCCTCCCCCCCAAGGGCCTGGCGCTGCCAGCGCCGGCCTCTTGCCCGGCAGCTGCCCCGGGGGGCCCGCGGAAGTACCGCGGGCTTTCCTCCACTGTGGGTTTTCCCCGGCCGCAATCCCCATGCACGGAGAGATCAGGTCGGGAGCCTGCGGGCCCTGGGCCGCGCCACAGGAGAGCCTGGAAGATGGACGCCCCAGCTGAGGGGCCGGAGGTGGGAGACGGGTGGGAGCCGCGGCCCCTCCGAGAGGCCGCTTTGAAGTGCGGGAGCCCCCGGGGGTCCCGCAGGCTGCCCCACCACCCCCGCCGTGCCGCGGGCAGCAGCTGCGGGAGCGGGAAAGCCGGGCCAGGGTGCCAGGGGGCGGCTGTGTGGCGCTGGGCAAGATGGCGGCCCGAGGCGCGCTGTCCCCCGGGCCCGCCGTGCAGGGGCCGCCCCACCGCAGAGCAGGCCCGCCGTTCGAGGACCGCGCTCCTCCCGGCTTCGCTCCCTTCATGTTTTTTCGCCTCGTTTCCTCATTTTTTTTCCCCGCTGATGCACCGGCGGTGGCTGGCGAGGCAGCGAAGCGGCGGCCAGCGGAGGCAGCGCGCAGCGCGGAGCAGGGCCGGCGGCGGGGCTTCTGCCGACCTCCCCCCTGTTTACAAACACAGCTGTTGCCGTATATTTGCAATGCTAAGGATAAAGCCACCAGCGGCGAGGAGCAAACGAGGGATGGTGCGGGAGAGGGGTCCTCGGCATCTGGAAAGGACAGGGCGCCTTGTTTTTGAAACTGTCAATTCTCTCAACCCCTATTGTGAGCGCTTCATGCAAAACATCTCGGGCCTTTTAAAGCGGGGGCTTGTGAGGCCGCCTCGGCGTGAAAGGGAGAAGGGGAGAGAGAGGGGCCTAGGGCACGGCAAATAATTATATCAGCGCAGTGAAGAAATGCAACGTGGATGGGCCTAAAACCGGCTAGCCGTCTTTCCCCAAGGGCTCCAGGGCAGGCCGCGGCCCAGTACCCACCCCGCGGCGGCGGGAGCCCCACGATTGCAGGGCTGAATACTGGGGGAATGGGGAGTGCCTGCACGCATGACTTTGGCTAGCTAGATCCCAAAGCCTCCCTCCTTGTTTTGCTAGCGAGGGCTTTTCGCTTTCAGGCGCTTGCCTTCCTTTTGTACTTCCAAGCTGACCAAATACATCTCAGGATGAGCCATTGCATACACTTTACAGCAATCTTCTTAACCATAAAAAAAAACACAATTAACGAGGTTACCCATGTTTCATGTTCTCTGACATGCTGCATATGTAGAATATTTTCCTGCAGATCACCGCCGTGGGTGGAAAATACCACTTTTTGTGGCCCTTTCTGCCTCAACCCCTTGCACGTGTGAATGGTGACAAACGCAAACATGATCGCATTGCTCTCATTTCTGCAGAAACTTTAATTTATTGGCAACTAAACCTGTTAGAGGAAAAAGGATCAGAGACCACGTAAAAAGAAAATCACCATGTGAACTGATTGAAAAGCAAACTTCATACAACAGTTACCACTATTTTGCATTATTACTAGTAGTGGTGTTTTAAATAAACAGCCAGTAAAGATATTATCCCACTGTAGTCAAGTAAGTGTAGGTTACAGAACAATCACTTCTTAAAAGTAAACTGTTGTAAACGGCGAGTTACATCTTTTAAGGCAGTATAGCTCGTTGCTGAAGGCATTACGCGTGTTCCCTTTTTAATGCTCTAGAGAATTAGACAGAGTCCAAAATTTTCTTTTGTCTTCCATCTGGCAGCAGATACCTTCCCAATAAACTTACTGGTGAACTCTATGTATGGCAAATACCTATGGAGTGTAGTCTCTAAAGTATGTGCGCTTTCCTCCATTGCTTTTTCCTCTGGAAAATTCTGTTTACTTTTGAGTACACCGGGAATTGGAAAATGGTGGGGATCTAGTACTAGTACATTTTAAGTTTTACCTCGTGTAAACATTGCAACAAACTGGTAATTTGGCTCACTTGAAAAACCTTTGGTTTTCCTCATTATTAGAACTTACCTTTATCGGGGAAAATGGGTTATTTTTATATAACTCAATGATATGACTTTATATGTCAGAGGCTGAAATTATAATGAACTCTGCTCACAGTAATAATTACAACGCCATCAGAAGCATTTACCAAACTACCAGAATTATGGACATAATATTGGAAGGAATACCTACTCCCCTCCCCCCCCTTTTTTATCTTCTGCCAGTGAGTTATTGTACCTGGCTAATTTCTCTAGTGGTAGTAAAAACACGAGTGTCCTTGTTAGTGGCTTGCACTAAACTGAGGTGTACACTTGTGAAGATTATTTGGCTCTTTAACTCTGTGCCTTCTGCTGTTGCCTGCCCCTGCTGAGGAGAGCCCTGGGAGCTGCCTGGTGGGTGCTGGACCTGGGCCTGCAGGTCCCAGGCCGTAGCAGGGCCGGGCGCGCCATATTTCAGATCCTCAACTCTGCAGAGCCTATTTGGTATAAATTTATGCTTATTCCTCCCCCTTTTCTCCCCAAACCCATCCCCCCCCCCCCCGGATTATTTCGGGAACCTGAAAAGGCACCTCTGTAATTCACAGTTCCTGGCCAAATCAGCATATCTCTAATTGGAAGTAAACAGGGTCAGGGGACAGAGTTACTTTGAAAGCAATATGTTGTTTAATTGACAAGCGAAATTTTAGGTTTCAAGTTTGTATATTGCACCTTTGTAGCTTTTGGGCTTGGCTTTTTTTTTTCTTTTTTTCTTTTTTTCCTTTTTTTTTTTTAACCTTTTTTTGTTTTTGTTTTTGTTTGTTTCTTCTTTGTTTTCTTTCTTTTTGTTTTGGTGAAGGGAAGACCTTTGTCGAGCAGACACGGCTTTCTAACTGAGCAGGGGCCTTTCCTGAGCAGTATGTCTTGTACATATTTACAGTTGTGGGGAAATAAGGCTGTAATCTGTGCAGCTCTAAACACACGAATGTAAACATTGATCTCAGAACAACTCCAGTAAGCAGATTTTTCATGACCGTCGTGATTTCAGCAGAGCGGTTAAGTATGCAGTGCACCTTTTGCAACTGGCAATTGGAAGTGATGTGTGTGC